AAAAAAAAAAACAGTGTTGAGTAGATAGGACTTGCCTGAGGATATTGAGATGTGAGTTGATCCTGGATGAATAGCTTGGGAACTAAATAAACCTTGAGCTATCCTTCCAAGAGGGAGAGAGAGAGATTTTGTCCACAGATTAGGCAAGATAAAGACAGCAGAGAAGAGTTTGAAGACGCATGTCTCATAGATGGGGGTGATGTTGTCACAAGCCAAAAACTGGTAACATTCACCAGAAGTCGGAAGGAACAGAGACTGGCTTCCATGGCAAGTGTGGCCCTGCTGACATACTGATTTAGGATTACTGGTATTCATTTTGGACCCCTGTCCTTCCCCAAATATTATAGAAAAAAAATTCTGGTTCTTATTTTTTTGAAGATTTGTTTTTATCTTATGTGTGTGAATATATACCTGCATATATGTACATGTACTATGTTTGTGACTGGTGCCCATGGAGACCAGAAGAGGGAGTTGGATCCCCTGGAAATGGAGTTACAACTGCTTGTGAGCGGCCATATGGGTGCTGGGAACTGAGCCCAGGTCTTCTGAAAAAGAAGCAGGCACTTTTAACCACTGAGCCAGTTCTCCAGCCCCAAATTTTGATTATTTTAAGGCACTACATTATTGGGAATTTGTTGTACCAGTTTTATTAGTTATTTTTTATTGCTGCTATAAAACACCATAATCAAGACAACTTCTAAAAGAAAGCATTTAATTTGGCTTACAGTTTTGGAGGAGGGTTAGAGTAAACAATGGTGGAACAAAGGAACAGCTGAGAGCTCACATCTCGGTGCACAACCACAGGGCAGAGGGGGAACACAGTGAGAATTATATGAGTCTTTTGAATCGCCAAAGCTGGCTCTTAGGGACACACCTCCTCCAACAAAACCACACCTCCTAATTCTTCCTAAACAGTTCCACCAACTGGGGACCAAGTATTCAAACATATCAATCTATGGTGGGACAGTCTCCTTCAAACCACCATACTAGCTAAGGAAAGCAATACCACAGATTTTACATCAACTGTTGACTGTCCTCAGCTCTTCTGTCTTTCTGTCTCCTCAACACTATCTTGCTCTGGTTCTGCCTCCATTTGGCTGCATTCTGTCTCCTCCAGTACCTTCTCCTCTTGCCTTCAAGATAAACTTCTTCCCTCTCATGCACTGTTGGCTAACTCAACTTTATTACTCCATCACTCTATTTAAAGGACACCCGGATTTTATCACGAACCCATTTCCTTCCTGAGATTTCAGTTCAAAACCATGCTTGCTTGCAATTATTGGTTAGTCCCCCCTCACCTGCAATTAATTGAGTTGGTCTAAAGCTAGGGAGGTCATAAGTCCTAGAAGGGAAGGAAGTTACTGCTGTTGTTTTCCCAGACAGACACGATATGCCTGTCAAATTGCCTTCTAAATAACTATGTTTATGCCCATAAAATGGTGCTACTGTAACTTTAATTAGAAAATTATTACCACTGCCCGTGAAAACACCTATTTTTCCATACTTGCTGAACTTCTTTTTTTTCCCTAAGTAATACAGTCATCATTAACATAGTAACATTGGCATCAAAATATTGTAACACTGGAATCTGCACATTGTGACATGGGCTTCAAACAAAGCTCTCCCTCCAGACTGCTAGGTTACATCAGAGGCGCTCAAGGGCAGTCTGGCTTCTCTTTCTTGTTTTTGGCACTTTATTTAAGTGATCTTGGGTAGCTGCAGTTTGCCATCTTTTGTTTGTATTTAAAAAACCCCAGCAACATCAATAATCAAAATTAACTATGATCCATATGTTTGACTTTGAACCTTCTTCTTCTTCTTCTTCTTCTTCTTCTTCTTCTTCTTGTTCTTCTTTTTGTTTTTTTGTTTTTGTTTTTGTTTTTCAAGACAGGGTTTCTCTGTGGCTTTGGAGGCTGTTCTGGAATGAGTTCTTGTAGACCAGGCTGGTCTTGAACTCACAGAGATCCTCCTGCCTCTGCCTCTGCCTCCTGAGTGCTGGGATTAAAGGGATGTGCCACAAACACCTGGTCTAGAAGCTACATTTTTTAAATGAAAGGTGAAAGTAATTTTAATGATAGTTTATTTAAAATGGTAAATCCAAACTATTATCATTTTATATACACAAAATCAGAAAATAAAAGCTTGTGTTTACTACACATAAACCAGACTTTATTTTATATACTGTCAGAGTCTAGTGTGTATGAGAGCCGAAGTTACATTTTTTATATTGTAATTACTGTGCCTAAGAAATCCATAAAATAAAATGTCTCTAACATATAAGGCCCTCGCCCTAAGACAGATACTTCCTGAAATGCTGAAGGCTATTGTTGATAACAGGCCATAGGTTTTCACTCCCTGAACCAGTTTGTTTGACCTAGCTCCCCTGGATGTGCCTTATCCAGGAGGCACAAACGCCAGAATTATGTCAGGATGTATGCTTGCCCCTGATCGGACCTAATGGGGAATGAACTGAATTGTGGGATCTCCATTTTTAAGCCCCTTCTAAGTCATGTAAACCATGACCCGGGTCATTTTCTGGAAAACCAGAGATGGATCTGGTCAGAGCCCATCTACTTGGCCAGGATTTAATTAAATATTGTTTCAAATTTGACTTTAAATTGTGGTAGTGGTCTCATTGTCAACCAGTGGGACTGACATATGATCTATTTCAATTTAGACTCAAAACTCAGCTGTGTGGGTTAAGAAAGTTCCTGAGAACTCAGAGGTTATTAAACAAAAGGTCCCAGTGCCAAGGGTAGGTGATCTCTCTACAAGTCATTTGCCAGGGAGGCCTCTGTGGTCCCTCAAAACAATACAAGAAAATTGCCACTTCTATTGATTGCCCATTAGAACTAAATGGTAAGACTATGTCGCTAAAGATATCATGTGACGGACCCGCTGGTAAGGCTCTGCCTGTAAGGCGGTGTTAGATGGCCCCACAAAGCTGAATCTGGCGCTGAACCCTCAGGAAGACTCGCTGTTTCAAAAGGAGGTGACGCAAGTCCAACAGCGAGTGAAAAGGCAAAAGAAGGAAGGAAATCTTAACCTTGGAGTGATCTTTCTGGGCCGCCTGCCTTCAACACTTTTTGAAACCCACATCTATGACTACTTTACCCAGTTTGGCACTATTAGCAGATTCAAATTGTCCAGAAGTAAACGGACTAGAAACAGCAGAGGATATGCCTTTGTGGAGTTTGAGTCTGAGGATGTTGCCAAGATAGTTGCAGAAACTACCTTTCTGGTGAAAGACTTTTATCTTGTAAATTTATGCCACCAGAAAGAGTCCATAAAGAACTTTTTAAAGAATGGAATGTTCCGTTTCAACAGCCATCATTTCCATCAGTGAGACGCTATAATCAGAAACGGGGGCATTTTGAAATGTTGAAGATGGAATATTGGTTCAAGAGGAAGGAAAAATTACTCTGGAAGAAGCTAGCTAAGAAGGGGGTTGATTATAGTTTCCCTTCGTTGGTCTTACCTAATCCGAAGTAAAAGACTTCACAGGGCACTCTTAGCACCCCTGAGGATCCCAAGGAGTCCGAAGGTACCCAGGTTTTGCCTGCCCCAGGAAAAAGGCTTTCAGGTATACCTAAGAAAAAGGAGAGGAAGATGTTGAAGGGAGTTCACAGAAGCATTGTCACAGGCAAAACAGGTGGTCTAAGAAGTCTGTAGACAGCCAGGGTCCCACACTAGTTTGTACACCAACATTTTTGGAGAGACGAAAATCAGAAGTGACCGAAATCAATGACAGTAAAGATGATGAAGTCATTTTCAAACAGCCTGTGCCCACAGTGAAAGAAGAGGGGCAAAAAACTCCAACACCTGCACACTCTGGGGAAAAAAAAAGAGCAAGAAAAAGGAAGAGCAACCAGTGATCCTGAAAGCATTCTATGTGCACATTGGGGCAGATGTGATTTTGTTATAAAGGCCTACTTTATTTTACCAGGTGCAGTCATGTGCAAGCCACTGATGAGACTGATGGAGGGAAAAAACGTGTTGGTTCATGCCAATGAGGAAGGCCATCAGGAACTTGGCTGTTTTGCACTCTCCTGACCTGAGTTTGTATTCAGGCTTCACAACCCCCTTAGTTTACTCTGAATCTTACAGGCTTAGACACCAGCAGCAGCCTTTGCTGGCCCCACTAATGCTGTTTGACTGTGTGGTGGTTGTGCACATAAAACCCAAAAGAAATGTCAGGCTTCAACCTCAGACCTCTGAAACTGGAAGTTAAGTACACATTCGAAGAGTGAGAAGGCAGTCCAGTGTGAATACACATTTGCACAAGTACTGTGAGGATCTGAAATAACTTGTTTTCACACAAACTAGTATATGGTTAACAGATCAGTTTCAACAGGTGTATTCAAGATTCAAACAGTGACCAAAATTTTCTACAATTTATTTGTGTACAGGGAACCTAAGAACTTTGGGGGCTGGAGTCCTCCATCACCTGTTCTTGTTTCGTGCCCCGTCTGTGCTTTTGTATTGCTAATACAGATTTGTTAAGTATTAAGAAAAAAAAAGATATCATGTGTCTTGGTCACAGAATGAAGAAATTAACTGCTCTAGAAGCAGCTCCTTGGTGGCTAGGCCCCTGTGCCAGATGATATTATGTAGGCTGCTAAAGGAAAGTTGTCATCAGTGTTATGCCCAGATCTCTGAGTTCCCCGAAAACCAGAGTCGGAACTCATATGTAAAAACAAAGAACCTTTATTCAAGCTGGAGCTTGGACACTTTGTCTCTGAAGCAGCTGTTGAGAGCAGAGAGTGCCCAGCCCTGGTGGGGCAGGGCTTTTTTTTTTTTTTCCTTATCATAGTAGATGTTGGGGTTGAGGGGATTTTTTGGGTTCAAGACCCTGATTGACTGACATTTGTCTAGAGGTGTCTTGGTGAAATGGGAATAGGTGTGTGCTGGGCTCAAGGACTTCTGGTGATCTTATCTAATCTTATCTAAAGGTTGGGATGTTTGGAATGTCAGGTACTTCCCTTAGATGCTGGCCCTCTCTGGGTAGTGTCAGCTCTTGGCTTTTCCTGGAACCTAACACTGCCTGCCAGTAAACTGAAACCCAGGCCTGCTTTTTAGCTGGTTTTTATTAAGCATGCCATGGCAGCAGTGTGGCCAAGCTGTTCTAGGCTCCACAATCAACAGTCTCATTGTCTGTTTTCCCTGGGTACAACAGGCCTACAGGTAAGATGAGCTCTCTTGTACAATAGTGGCAGATCTGTTATGGGAGTAACCAACTGCTTTTTGATTGCATTTGATACCTGATTTACAGGGGGAGAAGTTTCAGCTGGTACTCTAAATGCAAGCAAAAAGGT